GCATGCATTTAACCATTGATCCATATTAAGAAAAACTCTTAAAAGAAAATCGAGAGATATACATTGAATTCGTAAAAATAGAAGATTTGATATAATTGTCATTTGTGCAAGAAGACGTATCCAAAACTTCAATCCAAATATAATTGTTGTAAATAAAGTCGTAATGGATGAACCTAATAAATACAAACCACAACCAACTTCGCATATAGTTTTATTGTTGAACGTTATCAAAGATAAAATTCCATTGATAAATCCTGCTATCATAAATATTATAGTTAATACTAAACTAATTTTTACAATATTTTGCTGATGTCCCAAAGTGCTATTTGATTGAATATGATAACCTAGTATAGCATCAAGTGATAGACCAAATCTAATTGAAATAAATTGACATCGTGCTCCATAAAAACAAGGTAAACAAATACATGTTGCTCGTTGTGGACAATCGGGAGCGTCTTGAAAACATTTACCTTCATTTTCACAGACACTTTGACCAAAACAATCAAATTTCATATCATGATTAAATTTAAAACAATTAGCTAAACGTTGTTGTTCGTAATTATAGCATAAACAAAGATGAAGATCATCATAAAAACAGGTTAGATTGTTTGACATGTTTTGACATGGTAGATGATAATATTTAATACGACGAAAAAGATTCAATTTAACAAATGTTTCATTGAATAATTCATTAATATGTTGACAACGATCTGACTGATTGGTAATTGTTGTAGTTGTTATTGATCGTTGATATATTTTTTGAACGACTGCTAAATAATAAATTTTATTTTGAAGTTCAACAAAAACAATATGAAATGATCTTGACCAATAAATTGTAAGTGAACTTTGTGTAAGAGGCATTGTTCGAAGAGTCGTTGTCCTTATCGGTACAGCATTCTTAATAATTTCAATGAAATGAATCATTATTGATTGAGATATAGCAACGTTGCGTCCAAATTTAATAATTATTTTATTATCAATTATTTCACATCGATCTCCAATATAACCTTTAGGACAGACACACAGAAATGCTTGATTGGATTCTGTATATTCATCATTTGGTATACATTGACCACCCATGGCGTAAATTTCTGCGAAAAAAACGCGTTCTCAAAACGCATTTTTCCATAGTTGCGAAACACGTTAATGCTGACCGGTTTAACGCATTTCACATGTGCTAATACGAACGCTGTGAAACGATCGTTTTTCTAAAAACGTTTCGTAGCGTTTCTCTAACTATGATGTCGTATATTCTAGATGAAAAAAAAATGAAAACCGTCAAGTACTTCATGCACTTTGAGTTGCAGATACAATTAATTTACTCGCTTACATTTTTCATACACCTTTAGAGCTATAACTTAGATCAATTTTGATAAAGCCAACACATAGATTCGAACACGAGAACATAAGAGTAGAAGACATGTGTACAAACCGTTCAACTAAAATAATCTAATGATATAAGTGCTTATTCTATAGTCTTTCAGAGTCTTCCGTAAATTTACTAAATTAGATTCTCAGTATCCCAAACCATTAAATTAAAAATTATCATTTCCTTGGTGCCTATACCCAATAACGAGCTTGATCTCCTCTTGGTATATTTTTTATTTGAACTTGTTTAAATTTAAATTTAAATACCCAATTGAAACGATTTTAATTAATTTAAATTGTATTTAATATTTAAACAAGTTGAATCTCTTAGATATAAATTTTAAGAAATTTAAAAATAAATTTTTTGAATTGTTTTCTTGATTTGATAGATTTTTGTATACGTAAATTCGTCATCCTTTTATCCAAAAGTATCACTAAATGCAAAGAATCTTCTTTTGTAAATCGAATATTCTTTTTATTAATAAGTCACGCTTACATTAACAAAGTACGAACTAAATTCATATTTAATAGTATTGTACACAGTATCATCAGTCACTATCAAGTAGTCCAAATATGAATTCATATCAATAATTATTCAAATTATAAATAACTCGAGATTCTTTTCTTCACAAATAAACAAACAAAGTTGTCGTACACATTATACTAACATCAGTCTTTACTAAATCTTTTCGAATTGTTCAATATTTAAAACAATGCTTAGTTGAACGTTACGAAACACGTTTTCTTTCAATAAAAACCTAGTGAAATGAGTTTTCAAGGAAGAAAAAAATATTTTTCTTACACTTTGATGTTCAATATTAGTCTAACTACCAATCAGACTTATATAACAATCTAGCAGCCTAAACATTTAGAAGAATTCGATTTTAATTTTGCGTTTGGAAAGTTTGGGTCATGATTTTCATGTTGAGAAACAGTGCAAGGAACAAAATATTCAAATCCCATTTAGTATAATTTCTAAAATAGTGCCAGAATTAACTTTGCTTAACTCGTACGTTTTGTACAGATAAATTTCTGCAAGATTCTGTATGCAAAACGGATATATTTTGCATCATTTCAAACAAAAACGATGTAAAATGCGTTTGAAAAGGAAACGCGTTTCATATTTCTCCGAATCTGTGTCTCTGGAACGCGTTACCTATCGATCGAAATGCGTTCGACATTATTTTACTTCGGAAACGCTTCGAAACGCAATCTTGGAAAAACGCGTTTCAGATCGTTTCAAAAAACGACAGCAGCAAAACGCATTCTATCGAAGTAAGAATGCTGTGAAACGCATTCTATATTGAAAAAACGCTGCGAAACGCATGCTGCAATCTCAGAAACGCGTTACGCAGTCCGTTTCCTTGAATATTTTACCCCATGGGCACCGTTTTGATATGTTATATTATTATTTGTTTGACAAATGCTATCAATAAGTAAACAGCGAGGACCAAATTTATTTATAGGACAAACACATATAGATCGATTGTAAGCAGATAAACCAATAGATATACAATCAGATGAACACATACTAGTATGTGGAATAGTACAGTAACGTCCAGATCATCCTCGATTGCATTGACAAAAAGTAATATTTTGTGTTTGATTTGAATAAATAATACATTTACCATGAACACATTGAGAATTCGAACAACTTGGATTTTTATCATCTTTACTTGGAATAACAGCTATTAATGCTAGACGATGAACAGGTAAAAATGGAAATTTCATCGGAAATAATAAACTTCCACGATAACTTAATGAAAGTTTTTCATAAATATCAATATGTATTACATAAGTTTTTGTTTGATTTTTTGGCCTAGTCGAATAGAGAAGATAAAAATTAAATTTACTTTTGCAATCTCTTATCGATAAATAAGTGAATTGTTCATGTGAATGAATAATTCTTTGTTCACTATCATCAATAAGCGAAATAATTATTGCAAATAATGTTGACAAAGAATCTGATAATGTTTGAAATTTAATAGTCAAGCTTACTCGTTGATTTTGATATTGACATTGATCACCATAAAAACTTGGTGGACAAAGACATGTATATCTTGTTAAGTTCTTTTTATCGTTTAACCATACACGTAAACCTAAACTACGATGACATTCATACTCACGTTGATGATATATTTCAAAGAATGGTGAACGTGAATTGACAGATTTGACTTTATTTTCATTGTGATTTTCGACTTCTCTCGATGCATTTAACGACAAATATTTAGCTTGCTGTTTTTCCTTTCGTTTTATTTCGTAGCATAGAAAATGTCGGACATCAGAAAGCATCTCTACATACCCTGAACTACATTGAGTTGGAAACAAAGAAACATTAGATTGATTTTTTACACACATTTTCTCATCTTCTTCATGTGTGCATTCTGGGTATCCACTACATAGTAGGTTCAAATGAATGCAGGAACGGGATTGTGCAGCGCTACATAAAAAGTTATCTTGCAGATATATTTGGTAATCTCTTTGACATAATTTTGGTTCATCAGTAGCACCAAGGCAATCAATCATACCATTATTTGCTTTCGTAATAGGAAGACATAAGTTCATGTGTGATAGGTTCAATGCATATGTGGTGATCTGAAGAACAATTTAATGTTGGAGATAAATAACAACCAATTTCATCTGCGCCATTTGGACAATTCCATATTCCATCACAATGAGTATAGATATTCTTACAGAGCCATTGTTCACATTCTGTTTCATCTGTTTCATTTTTTCCATCGATATTTAATGGACATAATTCAATAAACCCATCACAAATAGTCTGAAATGAAATATCCTTTCTAACGAAGTCGACATCGAAATCTTCGTCTTCACACCAATCAGGATTACGTATCGGACAATCGCAATGTCTATCTTTAACATAAGATTGATGAATGTATTTGTTGGATAGTTCACATTTAAAATGGTTTGCAAAAATGTTTGATAAGCCGGTTCTATTGATTATGGTAAAGATTTCATCATCTTGTTGGGAGCAATCAAAGTAATTATCTATGAGACGACTTCTTGAGATGCACTTCGATGAATTAATGCATTGGTAACTGTTTGGTTTATCGCAAATTGCAGAATTATGGCTACTAATTATATTGAATTTCTTCAGTTGTTGGACTAAATTATTTAAAGGTACTAAATAGTACCAATCCCAATAAGTTCCCAGCATATCGAATGCAGGTGCCCATTCAAAATGAAAACACGTTCTATTATTGAATATAATGGTTGATCGATTAGTAAAAAACTCATCATAATGAGAATAAGTGGGACACATATAACCCTGCACATTATATTCTTCGGACAAAAAATATAAAGTATTTGTTTGTATGTACTATGTAGATTTTACCAAAAATAAGTGGAACATTTGGAATATAAAACATATCCGGACACGTATTTCGAATGATTTTTATACATCCTACTTGCCCACAATATCCTACACATTCCTGTTCTTCACAAAGCTCATTACAAAATGAACTATTTGAATTTGGTACCCTTAATATGCATTTCGAAGCTACCCAACATTGGTCAAATGTAGAATTGTATGTTGTCGAATAGATAGCCTCTGTTAGTAAATATTTGTGCTGTTCCACACAAGAACTTGTCAGGAACGTGTTGTTGCATGCTTTTTCTTCACATTCAAATGATGGTTGTCCTCTTGTACAATCGTAATATTGATAATATTGTAAAATTTCATCAGAGCTATCAACACAATCAGGAGATCCAGAGTCATCTCTGAAAAATTCCTTTGGTATACATTGTCCATTATGGCATCGATATTCATTATCATTACATTCATTGATTTCAAATTGCCAACAATGTTCTTCATCAGATCCACCATCGATACAATCTACATATCCATTACAAATGTCACTCCAATCTAAACATGCTGAGAAAGAGCCACGATTACATTTTAAATATGTATAACAAGTCAATTTAGTTAGGTTATATCTAGATACACTATAATAATCAACAATAATGTCATACAACGACATGTGGCTTTGCTAATTAAATAATCATTTCATATTGACACATAGGACCAAATCTTGGTAATGTACAATTGTAGAAAACTTGTGTTTTCATAGATTTATCATACGATGCTGATAAATGATCTAAATACAACTGATAACGTTCAACAATATCGATTGGTGCTGACCAAATATATAATTGTTGACTAGTAATATTCTGTTGTGAAAGTTCACTAAATTTAAACTTTGGAAAGATATCATCATTTTCAATATGAAATTTCGATGGCAAATCATTCATACAATAAGTTATAATTTCACGATTCAATTTTGATTTGCCAATAGAAGCAGCAACACGCAAGCAATTATGTTGTAATACATCACTACTTTCGTTTTCATTGATTCAATCCATAAAAAGAAGATTGATTTGAGGTGTAGCAACAATGAAATGTATGAGCATAAAATAAAACAGATATTTTGTATGAAACATTATATACTGTTAAATTTTAGTGATAAATGAACATATATTAATGACTATTTATATGCTTCAGATTTACATATCTTATCATTTTTTTCTTTTTCTCATATTTATAAATATCATTAAGAATTGCTGATTTGATCCAAAGTCATGAATTGATATGAATAAAACCGTTTGTTCCTGCTAGATTAATTTTATAATTGCTAATATATTTTCTAATAAAATTCTGAATCATTCTAATAGTTGATGATGCTTTGTTAGCAACTCTTTCTAGGAACTTTATCTGCTGCACATTCAACATAAGCACTCAGTTCTAGCAATCTATTGTATATTTGATACATTTATTAATATATTAAACAAAATCCATTTGAATTATCTCAATAACATAGAATATATATATATATATATTATGGTAATATAAAAAGATTTACAGCGACCTTCATTCAATAAAAGATTGATGAACACGAATATTACTGATATCAAATTCTTACAATTCCCATAGATGGATAGAAATTCAAAATGAATTCAACAACAGTATTAGCTGCTGCTTTTTAACCTAAAAACTTGATCGAGAGTTAAAATTGTTCGATTAAAAAAGAAATATTTATTTACCGGTAAATTTAGAACAAGAAAAAACAAAACCATGTTTTTCTTTTATCAATAATAGTTCTCTAATTTATTAATTAATGAACATATGTGTGAATTCATGCTTTATCAGGCCTTTGTTACGTTTTGAAATGCTTAATATTTTTTGTTCTTTCTGCAAAAGAGTATGAATATGATTAAAGAAAAGATTTTCATCGACTGTCATATCTACACCCTATCAAAAGAACAACAGTATCAAATAATTATTAAGACAAGTTAGAAAAATTATTTCTGATGATGGTGTTCATTGGTGAATAAGACCAAGTACAGATGTTGCCAGTTTATCACATTATAACATAAATATGATGTTTACCCACATCTGAATGAAAAAAATATTCATTCAGAATCTATAGATTACAATGAATTTTATTTTCCTTTTGTTGCCTGTTCATTCAGATACTTATACTGTTCATCATGATAAGGGTGAGGGTGTGGGTGGGGGTGGGGGTGTGGGTATCATTGTTACTTATATGAACAACCACGCACCCACACCCACACCCACCCTTGTGCACAACAAAATCAGTATATATAACAGATAAATCAATTTAATTTCACTTGCGTTAGTATCATTTTTTAGGTGATTATCTTAACATGAAGATTCTTCTAAATGTATTTCTATTCTGTTTTTGTAAAACATAAAACAGTCATCATTTATCATTGTATCCGGCTTTATAGATATGATTGATGTTAAAGTTTTCAAACTTTCATTCGTTGCCTATAAAGGCAAAATTTTTACTTTTTACGATAAAATAAAACTAGCTGCACACTGGTCATTAATTGATAATGATTTCGTTGTCAAGAATCAAGAACAAACAGTAACTAATTATGGGTTATTCCATGGATGTTTATTGTCTTCAAACATATAGGAGTACATCGCATTTACCTTCCATCAGGATCACGATGGTTTTGTCAAAATAAATTATATCAAGGAGAATATGCATATCAAAACAGTACATTTTTACGAAGGATAACTTTTTCGAATCCGTTTAGAAGTAAGCCGAAGCAGTTTGTATTCATTTTTAATGTTCTTTTTAAATATAGTTTGATGGAAACCGAGACAAAAAATGGTTTTCGATTGAGTACAAGAACTTTATCAATCAAAATAGGTAAGTTAAGAATTTCTTAGCTTATCTCCTTCTTCCTAAATGTTCGCTTTTTATAGTATCGATATGAAATACAGCATGTTTCACCTTTTAGCATAAAAAATAAAAGGAAAAGTAAATTGTATTTTAAGAGAATTCAATGATGAACAAAAGCAGTAACAACAACACAACATTCCACAAACAAGAATATATGTCAAAATTACCATCATATGAAAAAGGTTTTCTTTTTATAGTTATCATTTCATAAAATAAATTTATCTCATCATATATTACTCAATGATGATATTTATTGGATTTTTCTCTTTCTTTTATTCAACATCAATATTCTACTTCATTTTATATTTCTTTGATGAGCATAACATAAGAGTTAGTCGAATTTACATCTATAAGAAAATACTTTCTTTGATCTGCATTCGAAACTTCAGTTTTCCTTTACTCTTTCCTTTTCATGTGAATATTATCATTCTATAAAAATCCATTTCGTCTGAGAACATGTTTTATTTAAAGAAGAATTGATAACATTCATAATATTTTTGTATGAGAAAAATATTCTTTTACATATTTAAGAATTCGATATTTTCCTATTAGACCTAAACTACGCAGTTTTTTTACAATTATTTCGTGTTTTATTACTTGTAAAATGTTGTGTCACATATTTCAATACTTGATAATCAACAGAAAGATATAGATTATTTGCTAAACAGGTTTTCGTATCAACAAGAAATCCTTCGATATAATCATCATGAGCTTCAACAAGATTAAGGTGAGAAAGATGTGGATATTCAGCGATTGACAAATGCTCATTTTTATCATCTAATTTTCCACATTGCTTATCATTTTGTGGTTTTCCATTAATTAAAGTTAGTTTTTTCATGAATGGAAATGATTTCGAAATATGAAAAAAACATGTTCAAAAGGTTGTTCATCAAATAGCGATATTTCACGAACATATTTAGATATTCCACCTAGAAAATTATTTGTTATTTTATGATACTCTTTCCATTCGTATGGATATAAATAAGTATGACATTGGTCTTGTTTCATCTCGGAAAAATAATCAACACAAGAAATAATTTGGTTATTTAGAGGGTGTGGCTGTGGCTGTGGGAATGAGTGCTGAAGTCGATGAAACGAAAGGATTTTCACACCCACATCCACACTCCGAAATCTTTGTATAACACAGAAACGTTTAACAGTGAAACCAAAAACCTTTTCAAGGTGGGTGTGGTTGTAGATGTTGATAAAAAAAAGAGTCACCCCCATCTACACCCACACCCACACCCTCGTAGACAAACGACCTGTATTGATTTATGACTTTTCTTTGATGTAGAAAAATATTTGTATTTCATTTTTAGATTCAACAACTTTCAATTATGCTTGAATTTTCAATGTAAGCGCCATTTCGCTGTAGCTTTGAATGTCAAAATGGATGCTCTATTCAAGCAAGTGTGGAAGTTCACTCAGATCCTACGAACATCGCACGCTCACATCTACATACCAAGGTGAACCTATTCATGTTTCTCAACGTTTACAAAAAAATAAATATGCACAAGTTTATTTTAAGGTATTTTGTAAGATAACTTTAGTAATTGTAATTATAATACTCATACGGGATACAGACAAAGAAAAAGTTATAAGTAACATCCTCTCGTATATTTTGTATTAGTGTCTCATTTCTTACGCTTTACAGAAACAAATAAAATATATGATGTCAAAAAAAAATATGCGGATTATAATTCTATATAAATGTCTGCACAATTTGTGGCACCCAGAGGGGGGGAAGCAAGTGTTGCTAAGATGTCATAATAATCAATTACAGTATCATGAATAGTCAAATATATATGATACTTATATCTTTCTATTTCTTATCTTTTAAGAATTCTATGTTTGCATATCAACATACGATGGAATTTTTTATGTGATTGCAATATTGAAAATGTTAATTTTATTATAATCGAATTTTATCGGATCCAAACTATTATCTATGGATGATTTCTTTTTTTGAAATTCTCCTTCGATGAGTTTAAGTATCTGTAATGGTCTGGATGTGGGTGTGTTCATATAGTACTAACTCTACACCCACACCCATACCCTAAAGGTCACTTCGAATCTGCTCAGAAACTAACGATCCATTTAAATGAGCCTCAAATACTTAGTTAACATTATGTAATCGGTTCTTATACCCTATAGAATCTGACACATATACCGAAATATCGTTTAACTAAGCTTTATCAACGATGGTATTTCGAAAAATTGCCATAAACAAAGTATTTTTTCCTCTATCTTCTTTTCCATCGAACAAAAAACAAAGATAGTCGGTTAGGTGTATATCTAGGCGATTAACAATACAAGATCGTCTGAAAAAAAGCACCAGTTGGACTAGTCAGTTTACTCACTACCCCAGCCAGAGTTCATCTCAGTTCAGATATAAATTCCCATGTTAAACATTTCTCGCATAGCACTGGCTCTCTTCCTTGTTGATTTATGTAAGTAAACATTTGCTATTTAAAAGAAAGACTAGGCTTTCATAATAATTAGGATATAAACAATATTTAACATTCTTATCTTTAGAATAAGCAGGTTTTTTTAAAAATGAACATCAAATTATAGAGATAATGAATTTTGAAATTTCGATTTTCTTTTTATTAAAATGAAAAATTTTTGCAGAGGAACATAAAACATTAGAAAGCAACTATCGAGTAATAATACTATGATATTGTTGCTTTCTCTTATTCCTAGATTAAAAGTTATGAACAAAAATATGTCTACGAATGATAATCAAACTCAAAATTTAGAAATATTAAAATTACAACTACGAATTGAGCGGGAAAAAACCAAACAAATACGAATGCAAGAAAAAGAAGCAACCAAACGAAAAAGACTCGAAGAAAAACAAGCGACCAAACGAATAAAAATCAAAGAAAAAGAAGAAACCAAACGAAATAAAATACATGACGAAGAATACACCAAACAGTTGCGCCCAGATCTCGTACTAGCATTATCAAAGGCTAAAAATTCGGCACCATTGTCAAATTTTACGTCAAAAAACGAAAGCACAGCTAGTTCATCTTCTTCTTCATCTGATTCTTCCGATGATTCGGACGAGTGTTAGTAATGTATGAATTTTCACACACAATTTGCTGGTGAAAATGTAAACTTTTCATAATCACATATATTTACTTAATGATTTGCTCATTTTTTGTTTATTTCTTGCTATATGTTTGTTCTTCTTCATCATTAAATACTTGTTATTTTGTTTCTTTATCCTAGTACTCTCTCTCTCTGGGTGTGGATGTAAGAGTGTAAAACGATCTAATATCATCTACAACTACACCCAAACCCTTAATTTACTTGAATTTGCGTCTATATTATCTTATCTGTTTTGATGATACTAACTAAACAAAACAAACTGTATATTGTCAATAGTCTCTTGAAATAAAAATCATAGTTGAAATGTTACTAAAAAAAACTTTACTGATCATTTTAATAATTTATATTTCATCAATAGATGAATAACACATATGCATCTTCCTGAATGACTACGATTGCTCTTTTTCCTTCTGTTGCACGAATTTGAATGTTTGTGGTGTTTATCTGATGCAAAATAGGTTAACCATTGTTAAACAGACGAAATAACAACGCAACTAAAGGTCATTCGTTCATTATTAATCTATACTAGTTTGTGTTTTTTTTTGTTTTAATTTTCAATCAAATGACTGAGTTCTACTAGTGTTGTGGTAGAAGATAATCTGGAGCAATTTGAATATTCGTGTTACAATGTTATGATTATTTGGTTGTATGTACACTGTCTATCTATTCGTTATATTAATACCGATTACATTGATGATTCTTCTTTTGTATTCATATGTAATGGAAATGTGACTGTCATGTCGTCATTATTTTTTCGGTTTCGATCAAGTTGACGAAGAAGCAGAACTGGATATAGAGGAGACATAAAAAAATTAGGCTTATTTATAATTTTATTACAATTTTCATGAGAGAAATTGTATTGGCATTTATTTACATTATTGCTACTCTAATTTTGACATAGACGTTAAATATTGCTCCATTATCAATCTTTATAATATAGTATTTATATTGTGTATATTATTCTGGTCGACATATATATGATTATAAGCCTACATGTTACACTCAATTTACAAATATAGTGAAGTTGGTTATATTCGTACTTGTACGTTGTATGGAAATATATCCATCTTCGAGACTACATAGATAAAAATGATTTTCTACAATCCTTCTTAAATGCCAATAAAACTTCAATCGTATAATGACTTATTTGTTATATATATATATATATATATAATATATATCATTGACTATTTGTTGTATGATACCCTTACTTTTGTTACATTAATTTCTTCGTTTTAATGAATATAAAATAATTTCAATATTCTATGAAATTTCTTTCTCGAAAAAAAAGAGAAGCATAGAAATTGTGATATACATTGATTTATAAAGGACTTGATTTGAAGTTTCTATGACTGAAAAATCAATGATGAAGGTTCTAGCTTTATGATATTTCATTCGTATGCTTCTAATCTTTTAATAAAAGTAACATTCTTTTGTGAAAGACTTACGAGGTATATTTCAAGTAATAATTCACATCAAACTAATATAATATCATCATTTATTTAATATAAATGATAATATAAGTAGAATTTTATATAATGAAAATTATTCTATTTTTTCATCGACTATTCAATTAAGTTCATTTGACATTTAACAAAACAAACAAGCATATATTGACAATTGAAAAAATATAAAGATTGATTTAAACATGTTCAAAGTTTTATTTTATATCTATTGAAAGAACATTGAAATTTACGATTTATGCTTTTGTTTAAACACTCTTTTAGTAACATCTATCATTCATTATCATAAAACATTTTCTATATTTCTAATAACGAATTGTTGCCAATAGCATAGTATCAAACTGCAATAAAAGTCATCTAGAATTCATTTCTCGATGTAAGTATCACTACACAAGAGCATCTTTTTTAAAATAAACATTTGAATTCACACTAGCGAGCACATCCTACAATGAATGAAAGCAGCGTTAGATGAAATAGTATCTCTTTCATATATCGGAAGTTCTCTATTCAATAATATAACAAAGAGGTAATTAGAAAAAACTAAAGACAAATTATTTTCTATGTTATGTTCATTTAAACAAATTTTTTACTGAGTTCTTTAATTTTATTATTCACATAAATAAATAATAGAAGTTACTTTTTGATCAAGATGAGTGTTAGCATGAAGATGTGGATAGAGATATCTACTCTTCAAATATTCATATCTACATACCTTGCAATACTCCGGTATCATCTATATTTACACCATCTTTGCACTGATTGATATCGTTATATGCACGCTAATAGAGAGAAAACTGCATCTACAAGAATATCTACTCTTTTTGTTTATAGAACGATACAGATGCAGCAGTTCCTACTAATACGACATATACTGTCATTAAGTTAGCTCCATCAACGAAAAGCTCATATGACAAGCATTCTAGAAAATGTATGTTAATCGAAGGTCTCGTATTTTTCGATGTCCATCATTGAAATGAACGCTTGAAGAACTATAGCGATATAACTAATTGATTATCGTTTTGAATGTGACAAAATGATGATCACTGCTCGAATGCATTGAGCACATGAGTAAAAATTGTAGATAATATTTCTCTTATCACAATGAAATTTTCTCGATCTGTTGACTTTCTGACATAAGTTCTCAGCGAAATAGTAATGGATAAGAGTTTCTTTTTCATCGAGCGACGGTTGTATCTAGAAAAGAATTCTCTTAATATGTAGTCGATTTTGAAACGTTTGGTTGTTTGAGTTTTGTCTGAAA